CACTTTCTTTATAAAATCCCTTATTCAAAAGTATTGAAAAACAAAAAAACCATTGAAGCAAAGGGGGTAGTCCAGCAAGCAGCTTTCTGACATTATTTAGGGGGGGCCCAAGAATAATGTCTAGAGATTTGAACCTTTAAATCTTTATTCCTGTTTCTTTGCCTTTTGATTTGCTTTACTCACCCTCTATTCCTTATTTACTTTCCCTAAGCTCTTTAGTTTTAAAGTTTTCCAAAAGTTTCCAACAGTCAGTGCGCACTTTCTTTATAAAATCCCTTATTCAAAAGTATTGAAAAACAAAAAATCTTTCAAGCAAAGGGGGTCGTCCAGCAAGCAGCTTTCTGACATTATTTAGGGGGGGCCCTAGAATAATAATGTCTAGAGGTTTGAGGCGTTAAATCTGTATTCCTTTTCTTTGCCTTTTGATTTGCTTTACTTACCATTGAAATTGCAGGTCTTTGGATTCAGATTTCCATTGAAATTTAAAAATTTAGTTCTATTTGCATTGATTCATTCCCTTTTATTGTAATTAATATTCCAGATGTCTGCAAAGTTAGGTTCTTGATTCCTTTCATTTTAGTATTGCCAGAGTAGCTCCAGAGGTAGCTAGCTAAGGATTCCTTATTTAATTATCAAATGATTGATTTTCTTATACATTATTTTGGAGGCCTTGGTTGTTGAGGGGGGGAGGGGGGGATTATAAATCAAGGGACTACATTACCTGACGCAACGAAGCTATGATGTGTCGAGGGAAGTGAGAGCTGATCACTCTCTACCTGCGGAGTTTTCCACAAGCTGTCACCCTACTTTTCCACGGTTTGTTTCATGGTTCTTCATGCTTCCACGCCCGAAACCTTGGTTTTGCAGCTGAGTCGCGCCACTCGTTCGCTACTGCTGAGTTCTGCAGTCACGCACAAACAGCTTTCAACCTTTCAAGTGAACTGACTTTCTCACCATGCCGTTCCCTCACCATTTTCGACCTGGGGCTAACTGAAAACCAATGTCAGAGTGTGAACCGCTCAGCCGTCCCACTTGGGTGCTGGGTGTGATCCTCCGCAAGGAGGCGCTGCAATCATTCCGGAAATCGTGTCACTGATTCTTCGTTTCCACCACTCGTTGGGATTTTCTTAACCGACTTTGTTTCGCTACTGAATTGTCTGAACACAAAGCCGCCGGGCTTTCACGGATACCACAGCCGCCGGGCTAAAAAACGCAATTCATCCCACTTGAGGCCAGGCATGTTTCCCAACCGCCCCCCCCCAACTGAGTTCTACTCCCTACCTAATTAGGGTAACACAGGGAAATGGTACTCGACACACTTGTGTGTCGGTGCCTTTCCCTTTGTTGTCCCTGTTCTAGTCTTCTCTACCCGGGCGGTCTAAGACTAAGGTCCCGCTCCCTAACTATTGCATTTAATTCACTTCCGCTAAGTAATCAGTAATTCTAGAGTGCTAAGTATTCATACACACACACGGACACACACATGTACATACACCTCCCTGCCCCCCCCCCGCTTTCTTTCTTGCGCTTTTGGTCGTTTCTTGGGCTTTCTTTCAGGCTTTTTAGGTTGCTCTTGAGGCTCGTTTCCCTACCCCAGTCAAGGGCTAAGTATTCACTTTTTTCTACTCCTACCTTTCTCTCTTGCCCTCTTAGCGCTGCTCTTTCTGTGTTTCTTCCTTTTGTTTCTAAGGCTCTTTAGGTAACTATTCAGGTTCTTCGCACGAGCGCCGCAAAGCGGCACCGTGTGTGTGTGTGTCAACCCCTGTGCCTAAGGGTTCCACCTTGTTTTTAGTTTTGAATGCTTCTTCAGCAGGGGCGTCAGGCTCGACACATCTACCTGACGCAACGAAGCTATGATGTGTCGAGGGAAGTGAGAGCTGATCACTCTCTACCTGCGGAGTTTTCCACAAGCTGTCGCCCTACTTTTCCACGGTTTGTTTCATGGTTCTTCATGCTTCCACCCCCGAAACCTTGGTTTTGCAGCTGAGTCGCGCCACTCGTTCGCTACTGCTGAGTTCTGCAGTCACGCACAAACAGCTTTCAACCTTTCAAGTGAACTGACTTTCTCACCATGCCGTTCCCTCACCATTTTCGACCTGGGAATTGGGCTAACTGAAAACCAATGTCAGAATGTCAGAGTGTGACAAGCTGCTGACCAAAATTGGGATAAACCTATCATTGCATTGGCTGACGACCGAAAAATGAAAAGACCACACTACCAGGCAGGGTCACATACATTGTCACATACATTGCCTTTCACAAATGGCCACGCTTGTTCACTGCAGCTGAGCATCTTCATCTCCGCACATGTCTGTATCAAAGACTTCGCCCGCCACATTGTTGAGTGCTGTCAGCTGTGTCAAGGGGACATTCGGGCAGTAGTCGTCGAGAGAAGTGCAAAGAGGGTGCGTACCATTCAACAGCCTTAGGATTAATTGAGAACCTGATCAAAAGGTCAGAAATGGTCAAGTCTAGCATGGTCTAGCAACATTTTCTCTAAACACACACAAAGGACATACACCAAAACTCCCTGGACTCTCCGCTGGAAGGTCTTGAAAGTGGGATACTCGCCCTTGATGGCTCTTGATTTCCAATCTTAGCCTCCCAATCGGAGAGTCGCAGGTGCAGCTCATCTCTCTCATCCCATGCAGCTCATTGAGGGTGTCGTTCCTGGGAAAGTGAACGGGGTCAAAGCCCACGCGCATCGCAATGGCCTGGCACTCTAGAGTCGGTCGCACGAGCTTCTACTTCCCTCCCAACAAAGAGATCGTGCGCTGTCTCCCGTGTTGGATTTCGTGCGGAAGAACCGTGATTTCATGGACTCCTTGAGAAAAATTGTAGAACAGCTTAAAGCAAAACACATATCACATATCATACAAAAAGTATAAACAAAACAGGAAAACACGAACATGTAATGTTCAACTCTTTTGCTATCAACGCCAGGTGTTCTTGTATGTTGGAAGCTCCAACACAAGTTGAGAGGTTCCGTGCCATCACAAGGATCAAGAGCTGAAAGGCTCCTGTCATTGCAACAGCTTCCCACTGACTCTGCCAGTGGTACACATGCTACCAAAAGTTTAAGAACACATCAGGTGCGCCAATCCAATTCGTCGCTCCAATCCAATTCACTAAATCCATCGCCGCATCGCCTCATGTTGAGCTGCGTAGAAGCAACTGATGGACGACGCCTTGGTCTCGGCGCGGATCTCTGCGAAGACCGGCAGCCCGGCTGCGGGATGCGTCACGTAGGCCACGTCCAACCTGAGAGCGGTCGCCTGGAACGGAAAGGAACAGGAAAGACCTGGCTTCGGTCTGCATCAACATGTTGGAAAGTTTGTTTAGTGACTTTAGTGTAAAAAAAGTTGGGACGGTACAGTACAGGTTCAGTCAGTGAGTTGTTTATATAGCGTCGGGTTGTTGGTTGAGCTCCAATGGTGGCAACTCGAACACGATTCAACCTATTCAGTAGGGAAGAAGTGCCTGACGTTGCATGGTTAACAATTATTATCAAAAAATGAGGCAGCATTTTTTTGGATTCACTTCCGTTTTCAGAAGTTGGATTCCCCCATCGTCCATCTGGCTGCGACAAAAGAACCCCGACTTTCCTACTAACTGGGCTGGGGCGGCTCGGCAGCCAACCAAAGAGATTCGATGGAAGCTCCATCGAGTGAGTGGCTTCACAGGGGAGAAAAAACGCCGTTACGCCCCTGCACTGCTGCAGGGCACACCCCGAAAGGAACCTCGGTTCGCGAAAAAACACCTTGGCTTAGTGGGAAAAGTCAGCGATGGATCTGCCTGCAAAGATTCAGAATGCTTGGTTTTATGCAACAACCTCTTGGGGGTTCTCCAATGTTCCCCGATGTCGCTGGCTCCCTGCAGCTGAAGAGGCTGCCTGCCACACACAGCCTCGAGGCATGAGAACGTTCTCTCGAGCCGTGCGTTCGAGAGTTCGGCGTTCGGAAGAAGCTGGAGGTTCCAACAAGGCATTGGAAGTTCCATGTATTGGACGTAATGTTTGTTGGTGTTCAATTTGGTGTTTGGTGTATCCAAAGAATGCATTGATGTATCAGGAACTTCCAATGCATTGGTGTTGGGTGTGTTTTTGTATATTAGGCTCGCGATGGCTCCAACAAGTCCTCAATAAACCAATCCAAATCGATCATGACATCGTGATGGCTGCTGGGCACCAAAGTATCCTGCAACTCCTGTACTCTAACAGTATATACCCTACCACTGCGACAAAATGCAGTCCTTTCCTCACTTCTTGGTGTGCATATGCAAAGTGGAGCATGTATAACTCTTCAAAAATAGGCAAGCAAGTCATTTAGGGATACTTGGAGTCAGGGACGTGCTTGCAGGAATTGGGGCCGTGAGTAGGAACACAACTTTGTCAGAGAAAGTGTCGACTTGACAAACTCTTTGTCATCTCACCAGTAGTCATGCCATTCGTTAGACTGATGGAGTCCTCTCTGCCCTCACTATCCTCAGTTCAAACCTATAGCAACTGATTAAGGTCAACTAAGCCACCCCCGCAAGCTTTCAGCCAACATCGTTTGTTGATCTTTTGGAGGCAAAGGATCTGGGAAGGCCAGCCCTCTGCTGTTGTCCCAAACCAGAGAAGCACCAAAGAAGATCGCGTTCCAAATGCTTTCAGAATCTGCAGGTATTATTTTGATTAAAATCTAGACACGCAAGTCATTCTGAAGCACTCTAGAGTTATGTCGGGCACGCCAGCCATAGATACAAGGAGCCAAAATAATTGTATAAAGCAAAAACAAAGCAAAAAAACAAAAACAAAAGGCAAAGCAAACAAAAAAGCAAAAAAATGTAGCTGTGCGCATTTGCCGGTTTTTTTTCACGTTTTTTTCGCTTTATTTTCGCATTTTTTCGTTTTTTTCCTAGGAGGGTACAGCAAAAACATATTTGTCGCTTTTGTTTTACATTTTTTTCGCTTTATTTTCGTTTTTTTTTCTTTTTTTTTTGTTTTTTTTTTTTTTTATTTTATTTTTGTTTCGTTTCTTTTCGCTTTTTGTTTTGCTTTGTTTTTGTTTTTTGCTTTGTTTTTGCTTTGTTTTTTTGCATTTTCAGTTGCTTTTATTTTGTTTCTTTTCACGTTTTTTTCACAAACAACATTATTTGATGGTTGGCCATGTATGGCTGCCATCGCCCAACATAACTCTAGAAAATTCCATGTACGCGCTTGCGTCAGAACCAAACCTTCTGGATACAAACGCATACTGACCGAAGATTGCGGACACGCAAGTCATTCTGACAAGGTCGTTGTAGCTAGTCCTTCATCCAACAACTGACAGGAAACTAGTACCATAGTGGTTCTCATGTTCTCATCTACCCTATACCCGGTCCCCACACCCCTCACCACCTCCCCATCTCCCCACCACCCCCCAACACTCCGCACTCCGGCTCGCGGGGAACCCTGGGCCTCATAGGCGGTCTCCGCGAGTCCCACCAACGGCTGCAAGGTGGTCACCCATGCCTCGGTGACGCTTTCGCTCCCGCTCCGGACCGGAGAAGACCGAGGGTTGGACCCCACACATCGACTCGAAGAAGAATGGAACCTGCGAGTGATGGACGACAAAGAACAGGTCAGGTGTATACTGCTTAAAATCTACTATATATCTATATACTGCACTTATATATTCTTGTAATAGATGTTCACTGGGCTGGACTGGTGCGCTGTTTTTGTCATGATCCTCATCCTCATGTGCTTTTTATGACCTACTTTAATGGACGTCATGACGATCCATGTCAGGACTCTCCAATTGAGGGTCACCTATGGAGGATGGACTTACCATAGTAAGTCTTATTCAACGTCATCACCATGACCATGATCTGATTTCCTACTTCCCCAAACCCAATCGAAGAAAATACCGAACATGCACTTCAGTAGATAGAATGTATGGATCATCCCAGTATGACCATTTTCCCGCTGTCGCTGTTGAGATTTCCCAGTGGAATTCTATCATATGTACTGTTAATACTCAAGTCAAAACATGGTTATGTGGATGGCATGGCCCCGGATGAAGATTACAAACAGGTTGTTGTCCACGGGCTTCGGGTAAATTGCGTCAGTAATCAGGGTTTTCTGCGACAGTACTTTGTTTCAGGGTTTTTTGCGACAGCTCTGGGGAAGGTGTTTCTTGCAACAGTTCCACGGGTGTTTTTTCACACGGTGAGCCCGGAACCGGTGTTTTTGTGGACGTCTGCACGGTGTTGTTTGCTACGGTGGTGTTTTTTGCGTCAGTGAGCGGTGTTTTTTGCGACAGTGGGCAGCCCACAAATCGTCGGAGCGTACGCGAGGTGTTTTTTGCGACGGCGGTGTTTTTTGCATCAGTGAGCGGTGTTTTTTGCAACAGTGGTCAGCCCACAACTCAGTGGCGCTGCGCCCTCCCCCCCGAGCCCCCCCCTCCCGCTCTTTTTTTTCTATACCGTTATGCGGACCGCTGCCGAGGATGCTGTGGCGGTTGTCATTTTGGTTGAAGCAGGCAGGCTGCAAAACTGAAGGACGTGCATGCTGCAGGATCATGTTGTGATGTTGCGTGCTGCTGCGCCCCCCCCCGCCCGCGCTTGGACCGCGGCTTCCAGGAAGCTATGGCGCAAGCAAGTCATGCGCATGGGCGCTTGTCGTTTGTTGTAAAGCAGGCAAGCAGACGCGCTGGAAAACTGCAAGACGTGAATGGTGAAGGCTTATGTTGAAGGCTTATATGTTGGACTGCTGCTTGCTGCTGAAGCCTCCCGCCGGCAGGCTATGTCGCAGCACATTGGGCACGGCACCGCACTCTGTTGTCGCGCCGTAGACATCTTGGTTGTAGCAGGCATTGGAAAACTGCTAGATGTCCATGCTGAGAAGGAAGCTCGACTTGTGAGATGCGGTGAGCCTGCTTGCGGCTTCGGGGGAGAGGCGCTGTGCCCTCCCCAAAGCAGCGCTCGCATCAGCTCTTGCATACGGCGACGGAAAGAAGCTGTCGCAGAAAACACCGGTCAAACAAGCTGTCGCAGAAAACACCGGTCAACCGTTGCAAAAAACACCGGGCAACCGTCGCAAAAAACACCGGGTGGCGGTCACTGACGCAAAAAACACCGGTCACAGCTTGGAAAAACACCATACAACATAACTGTCTGGAAATACCCTGATTACTGTTGCAATTTACCCTAGTCCCGTTGTCCACTTTCATGATTGAGTGTAGGTTGGCGGTGTACTCAAGCATGATGTAAATTCTGGTGGTTACTGGATGCCGGCGCCAAGTTGGCTGGCCGCCTTCCGCATGCGGGACATCACAACAGTATAAAGCTTTGGAATAGCCATCATGGGCAGCCTCCGACCCTGCGCATTGCTGATGGCTTTGGCCAGCAGCATGATCTAAGGGGTAGCATACCTAGTTGGTTGGACCAGTTTGGAGCTGCCGAACCTGGGATGCCATCTGCATTGACGTGTTTTGTTGGATGAATTCAGCCTGAGATGATCGCGAATGTGCTTCTCCACCACAAGAAGCCTGAAGCACCTCAAAAAGGCTGTAAGAAAACAAGAACACCAAACATGTCCTTGTGGACCTTGGAAATCCCTTGGCCCGGATGCGCAGGATCCTAAACCTCTCAAGAACTCCCCGTTCTGGAATTGACCCGAATTCACCTCTCGGCGAACGGACGAGAGATGTGAACACACACCTCCGAAATCCACGCGAGTCAAGGGACAATAATGAGGATGACCATCAAATAGAACATCCGTCCACACATCAAAAGTTGGGACTTGCTCCCCTCCTGCAAGATCTCGGTTTCTTTCGGAGGGCCAGGACGGCCCCCCAACGTACAAGCCACATAAGGAGGGGCCACCTACAGGCGATTTCCATGGCTGTCTCCAGGGCTGTTTCAGGAAGGCCACCCAATCAGCAAGCCCATCACTTCCCCTCCCGTGATCACATATCAGGTTCCTATCATTAACCATAGGAATACACATTATCATCTTGTATCCATTTGTTAAAACCAGCCTGCTGTTTGGAATACACATGATCAAACGGTGGCTCCCAAACGGATGGGTCTTTGTCGGCGTCCGCTCCCGATGTGTCATGCAAACTGGACGTGGTGCCTGGCCATGCCCCAAGAGGAACACCATATAGGTGGACATGGGCTAATCAGCAGCTGGAGGATTCATGTCCACCAACCACATGATATACATGATTGCTACATGATTCATGATTAAACATTGATCTACATATGTATGTCTGTATATTATACGTATATACTATTATGTATATAATTCTATATAATTCTATCAATGTATTTAAATATGATAAACACAGTATATGCCCCGCATTCGAGTCAGCAACTCCACATCTTCCCACGCCTCCGCCAAACACCCCACCCTTCGCTCCTCGGGCGTCCCTTCACCAGCACTCTCGGGGGTGATGAAGCTGAGACACACAGACTTCTGCTTCCTGACAGGTCCAGTCATTCAAAGCTGTGACTTCCTGACAGATCCATTCTCGGGTTTCTTTTTTTTTGTTTTGGTTCTGTGTCACAGCGCGTTCTTTGGAACGCCGTACACAAAAAAGCCTGGTTGAGGAGATTCTTGATTCACCGCGGTGAGGATTGGATATGTTTGGATGCAAATGTCCTGTCTCTGGTTTAGAGAAGGATGTGCAGTCAGGAGCTTCTCCTTGTGCCACTAGAGTTTATAGGAGCAAGTGACATAACTCTTGAACAAAAATTCTCCAATGTCTCTAGTGGCTGTGTCCCACAGCCCCCCGACAAACACCATGCTGTGCTTGCTTTTGACCATCAGCGCTGCTTCTTGGAACTGTTCTAATTAATTAATGCTATTTAATGTTGAAGGACTCCCAACAACCCATCAAATTTAGTGGATGTTTTGTCAACACTCATCGGTATGAATCAGGCTTTATATGCATTATGGATCTTGTAAGCCAAAATATGACATCCAAGCCACACCAAAACCCAATTGCGAGCCATGCCTGCTTCCCGTCCCACTTTGGTGACCAAGTTTGGACATCCAAGCATCAAATAGCGAATGCGTGTCTTTTGCACCTCCAAAGGCGGCGAAGGATGTCCAAAGGAGTGAAATGGCGGCCCGGTCTGCATCACCGGAAACCATGCTTTCCATGGGTGTCAAGTGAGATGAGGCAGGAATTGGTGCCAGGGCCTCACCTGCCCAAGCAAATGACTCCGGTGTCCAGGAAGGAATGAGCAATGCTCACCCTTCGGCCCCTGCAACTGGTTATGGTATATATATGCTGCAGGGCTTCCAGCCACTTCCGTATGCCATGCGTATCCATGCGTCCCCCCGTCCCATGTGCCACCAACTTCCCTGCGCCATGCCAAGGCACCAACTGCTGCAGCTTCCGTGAGACTAAGGACTCGAAGACCAACTCATCCACACAATGTACGATCTCCTGGGGAAGCCCGTGAGCCGAGCTGAGCTACGTCAGGAGACTGACTCTTCAGACAGGGAAAACACGCTGTTTTTGGGAGGCGGAAGAGGAATAACCAGCAGAAAAAAAGTAAAACATTGCAGTACATATGCAATTCCATCATTGGCAATTCCAAGTCTCCAAAGCGCAGCAGTTCAAAATCAACTCGCTCACCTCATGGTTCAGGGACACAGAATGATGCACAATTGAAGAACCGAAAACTCTTGGGGGAGTCCCTTTCATACATGTGCTGATGTGAAGCAATGAAATGAATGGGGGTTGGATGGTTGGACGCATCTTCTGGGCACGTGGTCGACACCATCAAGGGATTCTAGGGAGCATGTGCATACATCAAATTACGCTGGTAGCATTTTTTGTCAAAGATAACCAAACTCAAACAAACAGCTATTTACCATATTTCACCCTTGCTTGTCCTTGCCGGTGTCTTCAAAACAAACAACGAAAAATACACCACTCAACACCATTCTTGGCTCTCCTTCTGGTGCTGAAGGAGGGTGCCTATGGGATGGTCAAACCCAACCCTTGGGCATCGAGCAAACCAACGAATTTCACACACATGGCTTGAAAACAGCAGTGTGAGGGTCAACCGACAAAGATCGGGTAGGTTGAGCACTTGGAAGAGAGAAGGGTGGAAACAACAGAAAATGAGAAAAGCTCGTCTCACCAGTCTCCTTAATTATGGGTTTGTCTGAGGGAATGCTGTCCGAAAACATGGAAGCAAACCCCTACTGACCATAGCAAACCCACACTTTCTATTCAGGCTTGGTGGGTATATCAAGCCAACAAGTGAAACGAGAACAAAAATGGCCACAACAGGATCCGAGTGACGATAGCCGTGTCTGCAAGGAAGGTTGTGCCCACGACCAAAGCAGTGAGGCTGATCAAAAGCCGAGGGATGAAAACGCCAAGCGTAACGAAGATCTTCTGTCGATTGGACATCCGCCTCGGCAATGTGGTGAATGATAAGATTCCCGTCACGGTGAAGTACAAACCCATTCGATATCATTCAATGATTGCATGAACCAAGCAGAATATACCAGCAAATCAGTACACTGAGAAAGCCAGGTCGATCTATTTAACATATGAAGCGAACCCAAAGGTCGCATCCACACGACCGACCGCAAAAACGACAGCTCAACCCCGCAGCGTACGTGCGACTTCGTGCGGCAACGCCGCTGTGGCCGCTAGGCTACGACCTTTCTGGCGCCATGTCGTGCGAGTGTTCTACTTGGCGCCAGTCTGTAGGTGTCCCTTTGAGGATCTGAAGAATCCACTATCGAGGTGCATTCAAAGCATCCACTGTTGTGGGTTTGCACCAGATTCCCGCACCACAGTGTTAAAAGCTTTTTGTCACTGAAATCGAAGGATACAGTAAAAGCAAATACGTTCTTTCAGGGAACGGTTGCTTCCCGGACGATGACTTCAGTGCCTTTCTGCTAATGATTGTCCCTAGCTTCTCAAGCGCTAATTTCTCAAGCGATTTCTCAAGCGCTAACTCGCTGACCCGCTGATTTCTCAAGCGCTGACGCAAACTTAACTTCTTGCACCCGGGCTGCGGGATGGTGTAGCCATCATCACTTGCGATGATCTGCCCCGAGCAGTCCTCGCTACTCACCTCCAGCTAAAAGTTGATCTTGACACAACATCTCCCAGGTTCTTACTCCACGACTTTAGCACAGCTTGCAAAATCCCACTCCATGCTGCTCATTCAAACGTCTGGTGCAAAATAAGGATTTTTGATGATTCTGGGTCCGATTCGGCAGTTTTTGGACCAAAATGCCGGGTGCCTTCCTAGTCGATGGAATCGATTGCCACTAGGATTCCTACAGATTCCTCAAGCCACTGTGCCAGGGGAGCGGTTTTCAGACCGTGGACCCCCCCGTTGGCCTGGTTGAGGCTTGGGAGCATCAGCAAAGCTCCCAGCTGATCCAAAGTGGCACGGATCTCTTTGGCCATGGTCAAACTCCAAATGCCAACTGCCACCAAACAAATGAATTGTCCTGCCGTCTGCGTGCCGGAGAACACGTGCTTTCCATTTTTTTTTCTGGTTCTTTGTCGTGCGCTCGTGCCGAAAACATGTGCCGGAGGGAGAGGGGGCGTGAGGCTCGTGCTGGATTCACCAGTTTGGGCTGAGCTGGTGTGGAAGAAGTTCAAGTACTTCGTGCTTTTGAGCATGTATTTACGGTCAACGAGGTGTGAATCAGATTGAAACATCTCGACTTGGACCACCCAACAAATAGTCGATGAAACTGTTTCCACTGATATAGTTTGTCATTGAATTGGATGTTCATCCGCCAGGAGAAAACGCCCCCACACAGAGACAGCACGGCAAAGACCGCTCGTCCTGGGATGCCGAATCCACCGATCTGTAGATAGACTTTGGTGCTGGTGAAGGTTGAGGTCAAACGATTGTGCCAGTTCTGGTTGCAAACCTGGGGCCATCACCGGACTGGATGGTAGATGGCAGAATTGCTGAGGCATAGAAGCTGATCAGGAAACATTGGGTATAAATGGCTCCGATGCCAGGTGCCTACTTGTGGGCGCCGTCGCAGTCAAATATCGACTCTGAACTGCACCACTTGAGTCAACACCCATTGGTCATTGATTGCGAGACTGGCAAAACCCTAAGTTAGTTGATCAGGACCCAAATCAAGTGAAGCAAAGTGTTTCAACCATCTTCTACAGCACCAGTAGGGTTAAGGGTCCACATCATCTCTTACCATTGACAATGCAAGGCTTGTGGCACTCCTAAAGTCTACAGTACAGTTTTCAACTTTCCTTGACCTCTGCGATGATTGGGGGAGTCGAAGGGATGTATGATGTGCTGATGTACTTATTTGGACAAATCAAAGAAGAAACAAACCAGCACAACGATTTGAAAGACTAAACTTCTCGAACTCCACCAGCGTCTCTTCATGCAAGTTACAGGTCCACTCAAAGGGGTATCCCAAGGGCGGGCCTCTGGGGCGTAGCTACGGGGCTCCGCTTCTTTCGAGAGGTAAAGAAAACCACGATGGACAATGATTCAGGGCTCAAACACCAGGTCAAGCCCTCTCCGGACGACCTGCCCAAGACCGGACGACAACGCCGCACTCGCGCGCGCGCGTCTCAGCCGAGAAAACCCGCTCGATGCGTGAGCTCATGCTCGTACGGTCCATGAGCTCATAGCTGTGCCCCTCGAACAGGCGCCTCGGATGCAGGGGGAGTTCGGTACTACAACCCCACGACGAGAGCATCTCAAGGTCTAATGCGTCGATCCGGCCTAAAGGCCTAAAGATAGGAAGGTCTTTGTATGCCAAAAGTAGATGGTACAAAACACCTACCACTTGGAGCAGTGTCCAAGTATGTGGCACTCACACCTCTTGTCAGGCACAGTGATTTAGAAAACACGTCTTGAGTTTTGTGCATCTTCTCTGTTCCTCCTGTTGCCAGAAGTGTCTTGGAGGCCAATTTGAGACAATGCCAGACGATTACAGCAACTCACCCGAACTCACCCATACACCGTATACCTGCTGGAAAATGTGCTCATGCTCCAACTGGTTTCAAGCAAAAGTGGTAGCGATGTTAAGAACATGGTGCCCGGGACAATCAAATGGAGTCCCGACCAAGGAAGCTTGCTCGCAGCAGGGCAAGCTTCGTCTTGCGAGGCTAAACATCTGTGTCATCTGTGGGTCAAATCTTGGGGAGGTCTAACGCCCTAGACTCCAAACCCCCAAAAAAACACAAGTAAAAAAACACATAGGTAATAAACTCTAGGGCGTTAGACTCCAAACGTCATAAAACCACATAACAGTTTAAACTGTCATGATGTCCCTCGGAGCCACAACGTTGGATGTCCCTCGGAGCCTCGGGGATTTCTGGCCACATGGCGAGCCTGTGTGGCCTCGCCGTTTTCGCAACCAAAACAGTCCCTAACCGGGGCCTGCAGAAAACCGTCGCGCACACAGCTCTGCAAAAGAACAGCCGCAGAATCACTTCACATGTTGCAGGGCGTAGTGTTAACATGTCTTGACGACTGCAGGCCACCACAAGCTTTCTCGTGCAGTATATAATCCTCAGAAGATAGGTTGACCCCCGGCTTCATGCCCCCAAACCAGACCATGCCTGGTATCTGTTGGGAACGTCCCCGGGTAGTCGCGGTGTCAGTAGGGGTGCCAACTACCACCCATCCATTTGCAAGCAATCCCAAGAGTTTGGAGCCTTGCGCCTCAACACTAAAACATCAACCGACCCCAAGACGGGCCCAAAACCGGTGGGAGACGCGTACTACCGCGTCCGAGGCGCTGGTACTTCATGGAGGAAATGGTGTCCCCCTTGTAGGGATCACCATTCATGGTGGTGGCGATTGCAAACAAAAAGACCACCTGCATGACAATGTTGCAGCAAAACATCATCATGATCATCACCTGCGGTCAGCTTGCAGTTTGGTTAGGCAGAGCTTACCAGCAAAAACAATAGATATGAAAGAAATATATATATAAATATAAATAACAGTATAAAGAACCAACCAAAAACCGTTGATGGTGTCATCTTTACAGCTCAACTGTCCATATATCCTTCAGCACTTGTTACTTTGTGTGAGTTGGGCATAATTTTAGCAAAATCAGTACAGCAGCATAATCATGAAGGCAATCTGCTCAGCAGGACAGAAGAGAATCTTGCATGACCACCCTGAAGATTAAAATGATTTGGGAGGATCCAGATTATATACAAAAACAACCTTCGGCAAAAAATGGCACCAGCCCTTATTCGCAAAGATAGTATTCGAAGTCCAAGGTGTTCTTCTTCGACTTCCGTGGGGTTTCTCCGCTAGTGCTGCTTTGCTCTCGGGCCTTGTCAGACAGCCGCACATCCCAGCCAGGTGCTGAGGAGGAGCCAAGGCAAATCAGGATAGCAGCGTCCCAAATGCCTTGCATCATCTCATAACATGTCGCCAGGTCCGTGGAGAAAGAACATGAGAAGAAGGGACCGGGACTTTCCTACTTGGAGATGCAAGCCGCAAACATTGAATGGGCTCAAGAAGCGTCAACAAGATCCAACGGAAGCCACGTGCCTGTGCTTTTCGAATGTGCTCGGAAGGGGGAAACAGGATGAAACAGGTGAAACCCATCGGTGTGCCAAGGCAGAAAGCCCCCGGAAGAGCCACGAGAGGGTTCTGCCATGGGGGCCAGCTATACACGCTATACAAGCGTTTCCATGGACACGGCAGACCAACGGCTTGCGGAGTGTTGCTTGCGGATGTGTCTGAGGGACGATGGCTTGGCACCGACATGCACACACCGACACCTGTTTTCACAAATGAGGATCCATAAATGCTCAAAGACTGGTCTCAAGAATTCCCCCCCAAACCCGACCTCCGCCGTGGAGAATGAGTCTTCGAGCTTTTCTCTACCTATAGCCTATAATTAGCCTACGGCCTACTTTGTTTCTGGGGCGGGGGGGTCCTATGGATCTTTGCCGGTGATTATTTTAGATTGTCCATAGTTGTTCTTTTCTTTCAGGAAAAATGTTGAAAAGGTCGAGACAATCTGAATCTCACTCCTTGGAATACATGGAACAAGCTGGGCATACCTGGGCAACTTATGGAGAGTCATGGGACGAATAACTATGAATTGAAAAGCAACTACCTGGGACACCAAAAGCACCCAGAAAGAGTTTTGAATTGAAAGTCCACCCCTGTTTTCAAAGGCAACTCCGTCTGTCTTCACCCAAGCGACTGGGACACATGGGGAAGTCATCCTCCATAGGCGACTCGGTCACCTCGAAGGGACTGCTGACTGCTGTCAGGCCAAGGGGGTGTTATGGATACCAGGGACCCGAAGAGTTATAGACGATGACTGCACCCTCTAAGACTTGGGTTTCAATCTGTTTCGATAGCACAAGTCCGATCAAATCAGGTCCACAAACATGTGCAACCTCGCATGGGAATGGGCCACTGCACCACAATATGTAGGAGGCACTACTGCAAGTTGCCCTACACTTAAAAAGACTGTCTACAATAATATATATATATATACGTTCAATCACTTTACACTGCAGCTCTGCTGCTAACTGCGCCATGACAGTATCGTCCAGACAACTCCTGCTGCACATCCCACCCCAAAAGACATACATACGAGTACAAACAAAACACATCAAAACACAATACAATTAGTCACTCTAATTACACCACAACAAAACCAAACCAAACCAGTTAACCAACCAAACAACTACACCTGCCCGTGTCAACCTCGACACATCCTCCAGTTGGGTTCTGTCGCTCGACATGTTCCTCTTCGCTCGACTCGTCGCGACCCAACCGTCGTCGAGAGATCGACCGTCCCAAGGGGCCACGGACTTGACGGACTTGCGCTTCTCCATGACCTCGGCCTCCGGAAGCATCCGGTTTCGGCATGGAAAAGGCCGGCTGGGTGGTGTGAAAGCGTTGGAAGGGGGGTCGAAGGATCACCAACTGAAGGGCTGGAGGATTGGTTTGGGTGGTTCGCAACCGGCAGTGTCATTGAACAAGTACATGTAGAACGGAGGGCAATGAGACTATATGAGACTGAAACATACTGAAACCCATTGGTTGAGGGTTCTATCATGTTCTCCCCATGCTCGGTTGTGGGTTCTCTCATGTTCTCTCCATGCTCATCATTCATGGAATGGATGCAAGTGCCGGTTGCTATGATTCTCTGTCTTGGTCCTGGTTGAAAGTTGTGTGATATTCGCTGTTTCTCTGTGTGCAACCCTCTCAGCGGTTACACAGGGGAAGCCTTCCCATCATCTTCGATCCACCCGCGGGAAAGGGAACTACGAACCTCGAATGGTATGGTTTGGCGATGTCGCGAGCCCACTGCTGGAAGGAGAATAAGTAATTAGTATAATTGCTATACTAAGGCCACTTGGCAGCAAGGTTGCTAATATCATCTAATATCCAGAGTTTGGGGATCCTGAACCATACAGATCTTCTTCAATCAACCAAAAATCAAAAGAGACAAATCCAATGCCCCCCGGTCGCGCCTGGACGGACAATGCCACCGATGAGTCGCCAGGAGGCGCCTCTGCTGCTGTAGCCAGTGCGCCCCTTGGAGAAACTGGTGTCAGCCGGTTGTTCTCCTGGCCGACCGGATAAGCTGCCCATGACATGGAAAAAGCCATGACTCACTGGTGAGTGGTAGAAGAAGCTCCTTTCTTTTTCCGAAGAGGCCTCTCCTATAGTGACGGAATCAAAGGGATTCCTCCAATGGCATGGGGCACATGAGGTCTTTCAGAAGGTTTTAAAAGACTCAACTATACCGACTATACCCAACTCTATCGACTCTTGCAACTTCTGGCGTGAACTCCCCTGCTCCTTGTAGGCCTTTACTCCTTACTCTCCCTCCAACAATCATGGAAGTGGACAACCTCCTGTTTGCATGTAGAGGAACAATTAGGAACATTAGTGTTCCCAAGTGGCCATGCCATCCACATCACTGAATGAGGACCTTGGAGGGAGGTACATAAACCCATATAAGCCCTCAACCACCAATGTAGACGGAGGAAGCCCTGACTCACTGACGCAGGTTTCGCGTCTCGCCAGTCTCGGCAGGTCCTTGAGGACTTGTGCCAGCTGAGCTTCCAGCAGCGCCACCCGCCGTTCCAACTCGGCAGAAGCCAACGAGGCGGCTCCGTCTTCTGGATGCACGGAAGCATCGTGGGGTTGACTTGGCTGCACTGGCTGCACGGGGCCTGGATGGGAGCAACATGGAGCAAGCAGCTAGCAAAAAGACCAGCTGAAGTCTTGATTCTGTGGTGCCTTTTTGGGTTGGGAGAATCTATACATTCATTTGGTTGGGTGATCATCGGTGGACAAGGAAATGGGACAAACCAATCACAAAATGCGTTCACTCGTTTTCGACCTGTGTCATATACTGTTTGTCTGCTTCGAGTATCGGATGACACCATGGTAAATGTTGTGGATTTCCGGTAGTGGCATGACCTATGTTAGGCGGTGTGGTGTTGGGTTGCATGACACACATCAACACGGTTGCTAGTGATCCTGTGTGGGACTTCAGCTGCAGAACTCCTGAAGAGGGTCAACATCTCCACGGACCTATGTCAAAGCCTTCCAACATCGGCAAATGGCACAAACACTCAAACCATACTGTGGAGTGAGGGATGTAAAGTACCTCTTGTGCATGCTTGTGGAGGCTTTGCGCGACTGGATTGCGGGCTCATCTCCCGCAAACAGGGTCCAAACAGGACATTGATCATGGCACTCATTGGCACATAAGCTGAGCGCGCACGTTCCCGCTCTGTCTGCTGGCATCCCCCCCACTTCCGTCGCTTTCAGCCAAAACGCTTGTCATCATGGGCATGGGCATCTGCTGCCCCGGGCCCGACTAACCTTTATACAGTGATACGGGAGGCAAAATGAATCTCACTGGGCTGTTTACGGTGCTAAGTAGTGGACATACGTGATATATATATATATAATTATATAAACACCATCATTGATCGTGCTGAAGGAGTGCCAATGCCTCAAAAAAGGCCAAGAAACACCTGCGGGGCAGGGCAGGTAGAGTTTCAGAGTGCAGTGCAATAAGCCACCAGTCAAAGCAAAACAACCAATCAAAGCATGGCTTGCAAACAAGAGCATGCATTTCCAAACTATTTTCAGTTTGCAAGCATGCTGTTCGTCAGTAGTACCCAGTGGTCTTGGACCATGCTCAGAATGCTTTCCGAGTATCAATTCAATTTCGTGCTTCTGCCTTTGGCCTAGTGGCTGATGATCAAAGGAGGGCCTCTACTTACTTACAATCGTGAGACAATTCTGCGGCGTAGCTGTTACCATCATCCTTTTTTTGTGGGTTCCTGGTCCTGGAACCCGGAACCCCCAGTAAGAAACACCTCACCTGAACACCGCCATCACGGGCATGGTGCACGATTGTAGAATGTCATCATTGGCCCCAAATAGGCAACTCATGGACAATTCATGAACACATGAACACAACAAGGAAACACAACAACCGTATTAGTATTGGCCCTGGAATTCATAATTCGTTTCTACACAATGCCAAGGTGACTTGTTCCATCCTTTTCCACGAATTACTACAGCTCCAGAAGTTGTCGCAAAGGTATGACGATTGTTGGTGCAAAGATGATATATATACCACCGCGTATAATCCAAGTTGTCCATTTTTAGGGTTCAACGATTCAACAACCCTCCCCCAGTGAGGGCAAAGAAAGTTAGGGGACAAAGAACATCCAAACTATAATGAAGTATAAATTGGGAAAAGAACTGGTGCCAAATCGCAATGTCATTGCAAACAATGCACATCCCATGCAAACATACCATTTCCCATACACCATGCCAACCACTGCGCCGGGGAGGCAGCATCGTGAAGGTCTTGCCACTGCCAGTTTGACCTCACAAACATGACTGCAAAGAGCTGGCCAATGTCCAATGAGTAGGACAAAACTAAACAAACTTGTGCATAAACAAAGGGGCTTCGGTTCTGGACTCACTCGATGAACAAAACCACCCATAAGAGGTGCTATTGCACTGAAGAGGCCATAGGCGAAAATGGTGCTGTTGTAGCCATCGAAGGCCTGCAAAGCAAGGCATCATGCGGTTCTAGGGCACCCAAAAAGTCAGCTGCCGGCAGGTTCCCAAAATCTAGATATCGCCGCCCGAGAAGGACACATGATATTTGGCGTCCATGTATTTCCTGGGTGGTGTTGTAAGTGAAAATGAAAAGGCATCTTCCCAAGGTGGCGTCCCAGCCATTCATCGAACATCATGGCCATGGCGTTGGTTTCTCAGCCCTTCATGGCGGCCCATCCGCGATCGATCCAGGGGACCGAGAAGGTTGGGCCGTCGTTTTCTGGAGGCTCTGAACGGGTCTAAGCCAGAAGGGTAGGGCGGATCCATTCAATCCAATTCCAGGTGAGAGGTGCATCAACATAGGTCCAAGAACCACCCAAACTGACACCCTATGACTCCCTCAGTGTCTTGTCGCGAGGAAACCAATCCCCCCCAGCTTTAAGGTTTATCCATTGACTGGGTATGCAAAAAAATGCATTGGATCCACAGGGCTTGGTCTTCCTCTCTGACTGACACAGTCACACTCGGTCGCACATCCACTTAACGGGGTTTTCTGCAGTCATCTGCGCTCGGGCCTTCTCCACTTGTGGCTTCCCCAAGCAGTCGAAGACAGCTGCCTCAAAATGCACATGTCTGTTGCTAGACCAACTAAGGAGAAAAGCGGCTGTTCTTTTGTGGGTGCGGCTGTCCTTGTTCAGATCGTGCACGGCCCGAAGATGAACGGCGTAAGTTCATACTTCATCTCATGGTTCACACAGCTGGAAGTTGGAGGGCTGGAGAACAGCCATCAGGGTCATCACACAAGTAACAAGTATACAGTAGATATGAGGAAAAGGCGAACATGAACACTTCTTGTAAACCATAATCATTCTTTCACAACACCGATTCCATATTGATTCCATCTGATTCCTGTTGGCTGCTTTTTTCTCATCAGGGCCATCAACAAGACATGAGGACATGGAAACTTGTCTCACCCACCTGGCCTTCCCCCACCCGACACCACCAAGGTCAGGCGCGCGCCATCGCGCCCGAGACCCAACAAGCGCCTGATCAGCCGCGTCACCCAAGACATGGTCAAAGTTGTAGAGGTACTCCTGGATCATGAAGGCGAATTCACATTCAACATCTGCGATTCCATATTTCTTGAATCTTTGGGTTCGTTTCATGTTCAACTGTTCTTCACAAAGGAACTACTGGTCATCAATGTATACGCCCGGGCTTAACGATCACAAACACATCTCAAACACAAAACAGTGTTTTTGGGGACGCCCGGTAAAACTCTGTAGCGCTTCAGCTCTCCAAAGGCGGGAAAATGCACCAACATTCATAGAGATGGGTTGTGAAACCTTTTGCACTCTTGCTCCCATCAACATCCATGCAGGGTTGTTCCGTGTTCTATCTATCTGTCCGAGGCATTGAACTGGTCAAAACAATGCATCGACAAACAGGACTGTGACTGGGTCTTTGCAAGCGCTCACCCATTCAACCCACTCGAGAGACAATGATGACAACACAAATCAGCTAATCCCCTGCACAAAGAATGTCTAGCAGCTAGCAATGCCTCCAAGAACGATAGACCAAGTACTTGGCAGCTTGTAGCAATTACATCCAAAAAAACTCCATGCACCTGTATAGGAACAATTAGAAAAATTGTTTACATTGGCCCCGGAACCACCCCAATGTAAGCAAATATTCTATGCATGGAGTGTCTCGCCAGCGCAGGGAAACTCTAGCAGTATCATGCAGTATCTCCAAGAACGATCGACCTTACTTCAAATAGTTTGCGATCAAAGTACTTGGCAGCTTATAGCAACCTGGCTGGTGTTGTCAACTCACTTGAAAAAAGAACTGAGTCAGTGGGTTCAATTTCCCAAGTAAAGGTTGAAAATTACAAAGTATATCTGAAACCACCACCCAGGCAATCTTATGTGATTCTTCAGGGATCGACCCTTTTCGCCGATGGCAGCCAATCAGATCCCTTCCCGGGACCTTCACCCCGGCGTCTGTCCTGATCCTTGTCGGAAAAGACCTTGGAGAGCCGCGGGTTCAAACCCAAAGAATGGAGGGTGGGGAGAAACTGAGAGTGCAGTGAACATGTGAAACTCAATTGGCATCATAATTATGGGGTTCAAACCCTAAATCACAACAGCTTCAGCAGGGAATCGGTGATTCTACAATCCGGAAGGAAGTTTAGTTCTCCCTCCCTCTGCTGAGGAACAGGTCAGTGCACACTCCTTAGCCTTAGCTTGCCTAGACCTTGGCTTTCCAAGGTAGAGCTCTGCCATGCACATTGCCCAAGACTCCTGGTAGATGACACCTTTCTTGCATCTTCTATGGGTGGAGGTCATGGCAACATGCTCCAGGCAGAAAGGCCATTGTCCGCACCAAATGCGCGTTGCACGGCGTCCGATCTGAGCTTCTGGCCAGCTTGTTTCCATTGGCCTTCACAATCTTCTGGCTGCTTTCCAACCTGGCCAACGTGGGAGGGGATGGACCAAGTAACTAATGAAGTTAAGTCAATGCAAAAAATAGAAAATCTGGCGGCCAAGGACTCAGTTTGAGAGTGGGCTCGCCGAGCTACCCCACGGGAGGAAGCTCTCAAACACCTGGACCTAGATACATTGATCTGTTTCGGACACTGTCTGTCTGTTTAACCAACATAATGCCCGAGAAAAAATGTTCTCCATGGAAAATTGCCAATACTTCCCACCTGCAAAGCAAAATGCCACAACTCCCATGCAGTCAGTTTTCATGGTGTGCCTGCTTCAGCAAGGAAGTCTGACCGGTGCCTTCTGCCCCTCTGCTTGCCGCACATTTGCCAAATGACTTCGGACTTCCAGCACCATGTTGTCAAGTTTGTGAGGCATGGTGGCACTCCCCTACTCTGGGAGGCGCTTGCGCCTACCAACACCCACAATGAGCCAGCTGCACAACTCCTTCTCACTCAATGGTCTCAGCCGTACAGCCACCACCACATGTGGGGCCACGTCCTCCGCGTGGCGCTGAACGGCACTGAAAAAGACTGTCTTGGAAAACGTGGATCATCCAACCCTAAAAGTCCATGTATCGAAGACTCAGAATTACTGCCCGCCAATCTACTCCAATTATTGTACTCCAAGGTGTGAAATGAGCAAATGCGAAGACATAACCATAGACCATGGACGTGCGATGCTTGGAAAACACTCCAAATCCACAGTCCTTAAGCTGAACACAAAACATTCAAAAAGTCAAGGGAACAAGCAAGCGCAAATCTTGATCGTTGCTCCCTTGCGGCCACTCACTACTTGGCCATATCCATGAGAGCAGCATGGTTCTTGCTACGTCCATCCAACAACACATCCAGCCCAAGTCAATGTTCTTTTGGCAAACCAACCTGTGTCTGCAAGCTGTGCAACATGGATCTGGCAAACAATGCTCTTTTACTTTTCAAGCTCGTCACTACGTGTATCCAAACGTTGCTGCTTATGTGAGTGTCCTTGCTGGAGTATGTTCGAGTCAAGCGAGCTTACTTTTGAAGGAAAAGATTCGGGAACAACCTAAAATATCCTGAAATGGTTTTCAACATGGTTTCCAATGGAGGTTCGGGTGTATGTCAGCGATAGGGAGTTTTTTGCCCATGCCCAAATCTCAGCGTGTCGTGTCCTGGACCGTGCACTCTTCTCTACATGGACCGGTGGACACACCTGACTCGCAAAGGGATTTAAAGGGGATGTGGTGCTTTATCCGTCTCACAATCTGTTGATTTGTACTTACAGTAAAGGTTTTTGGCACCTGTTGGATCCTGTTGGCACATTCTCCACAGTTTCTGGTGCTTCTTTGCTTGCCCC